TAAATGACCAAAATGCCTCTGAAATTTTTAGAGATATTCTAGTAAATTTTTATCACCATGAATATGTTTTTGTTATTTGTATCATGTATGCCCTTATCAGATCTATACATGCCTCAAATTTTGCTTCAACAAATGTGCAACCTCCTTGAAGCTCTATAATAATCGATATTTTTTTTTAGTATGGCTCCTACGGGATATCCAACAATCATCTAACCGTTGATGAAATGGAAGCTTGTAACAACACATCCAACAGTCATCAAGACATTGATGAATGAAGGCTTGTAATGTACAACCTCCTTGTTGCTCGACAATAAAGGCCCTCGATATACTGGAACAAGAGCTTTTGCAACTCTCTCTCAACATACCCTTCTATGTGAAAATCTAGGGAGCATAACAGTAGACTAATCTCTCTCTTTACTCATTTTTTCTTCTCTCTCTAAAACATCACAAGATTCTAGTGTCTAATTTGTGGGTTCTAAGTTCGGGTGCATAAAGCTTTAGAACAGCAAAAGAGACATTTTTGTTTTGCTGTATCCGAGGACGAGTTGCCCTTCTTATGCATATCTATTACAATATCAAATGAAGGCAAATATCATCTTAAGATATCATTCTTGTGTGCTAAAAACAAGAAAGAATCAAGCCTTTGATTTTTTGAAATCGTACTACCTTCTGCCCCTATTTCATCCAACCATTTTCCAACAATTCAAGACGATATTTCATGGGCGAAAACAAGGAGATTACCATGACTTCCTTGAAAGTCAATTACTACGATTTTACTAGACTCAAGCGCTTCAACGAGTTGAATTTCAAGATCATCATCATCTTATTTACTACTCTCAAAGTCGTTTACATAGTCACTGAATTTATGCATGCACCGCCGCTGCCATCAGATGATTCGATTGAGGAGCGAACTCAAACAAACAAAAGATAGATGAAGGATGACGACATTTGCAAAGGTCACTTTCTCGATGCTTTGGCGGACCCGATATATGACACGTATGCATCAATTGCCACGGTGATAGAGCTATAGAAGCTTCTTGAGGTCAAATACCTCACTGAAGAATTTGGTAACGCAAGGTTTCTTATTTCCAACTTTCTAGACTCTAAATTCATTGAAAACAAGCCAATTCTTTTTCAAATATACGAGTTGCAGTTTGTAGTCAATGAATTTAAAGATTGTGAAATTTCATTAGATGAATTTTTTTTAGCAGGCTTTATTATTCACAAGCTACCCCATGTTAGAAAAGAGTATGAAAAGAAAATGAACATAAAAAAGTGGACCTCGATTTGGTTCAACTTCAAAGACCTCCTCGAATTGAAGAAGAGAATAGACTTTGAGAAAAGAAAGATAAAACTATGAATTTTCATACTAAGGCAAACCGTGTTGAGCAAAAATCAAGTGTTCCAACAAAAATAAAAGAAAAACTTCTCGTTATGTATGTGGAAAACCGGGACACTATTCAAGAGAATGTCGACACCAAAAAGGGCCTAAAAGGCCTAGAGACCAAGTGAATATAACCATTGATGAACAATTTGTAGCAATAGTCACTAAAGTAAACATGATCAATAAAGACAATGAATCGTGAGTCCATACTGGTGCTACCATTCATGTGACTAACAATAGAGACATGTTTACTACCGTTGAACCAATCGATTTGTATAATGCAGAGGTCCAAAACAATCAAAGTAAGACACCTTCAAATAGTGCCAAAAGATGTTTCAAAAATCACAAATCTTTGTAATAGCCAAAAAATTTATTGTAATATCTAAATATAAAATTTGACGCTTCAAAAATAATATCGATCAAGCAGATCTATGGACACCTGAAAATCTTCAAAATTGATAATCCAAATAAATGCATTACAAGATGCACTATTTCGAGTACTTGAAATCCATTTTTTTTGCATCCATACATCTCGAGGTTGAGAAGATCAACTTGAAAGTTTCTCGGCATCGAAACATCTTCTAGTGAATTTATGAGGTGCCCCTTAATTTGATTGTTTAGGACCTCAACCTTATTTAAACTTTTTCCATCAATAAATATAAAGAACTCCATAATGAAAAAGATACAATTGCCTTTTAAACTTCATACAATCTAACTAAAAAAGCTGCAACATGACAGGTGTAAAGTGCAATTTATATAAGATGTCACCCTAAACAATCAAAGTAAGGCACACCTCCAAAGTCTGCCAAAATGTATGCCAAGATGCTATAGTCTAAGTGCGGCAAATCAAGGCAAAATAGACACTGAAGAAATATATAAATGGAAGTTTAAGTTTTCAGAAACAAAAGTATTTGCTCAGATTTTAATACAAATGCTGATCTGCTGATGGACAGTGGCTCTATTCTCTCCCTTCTTTTGTCTCTCTTCTTTGTTCTCCATGTACTTTCTTTGGTTGTGCTTGTTCTTTTTGCTTTTGCTTTCTTGTATTGTATTTTCATTATCTCAATGAATCTAGCACTTCTCAAAAAAAAAACCAACGTACTTGATTAAAATGGCTTCTCACTAAACGGTTAAGCTTTGCATTGATTAAAAAATTGGTACAAAAACCAGCCGGTTCGATATCGAACCGGGAATATTTTCTAAAAATTGGCTGATTTTCAACTTACCGGACCGGTTCGTCCTTATAACAGCATTTTAGGGTAAATAAGGGTAACTTATAAACAACGACGTTATTTTAAAATTCAAACCCTTATTTGTAGAAGGAAAACTATGAATCCAAATTTCACCATTTTTTATTCGGTTTGCGGCAATATTTTGGTTTTTTTTCGTGTTTTAATGGTTTAAATCACTAAATAATGAATCTCAAATAATAAATTTGGATTTAAACATTAAAAAAAACGAGTTTCTTGGATTGAAATGGCGGATTTTTTAGGTTTTTTTAAAACTTCCACCATTCTTTCAATAATCTCCTCAATACCTAATGATTCCTCAAGAAAGTTGAGGGGTGTAATTGCTATTCGAAGTATTTACTAGATTCAACTTTAATTTGATCATAAAACAAAAAAATAAAGGGTTTATTTTAACCCGAATGGTTGCTGCTCCAAGAACATGTGTTCTACCCAAAACAGCGGATTTTTTGTCCTTTTATTGGTTGTTTTTTATCAAATTAAGCTGTGTATTTCAATAATTGAGGCTTTATAGCTCAAATAAATTACTATGTTTATTTATTATTGAGTAAATTTTTTTATGTCAATTTTTTTATTGCATCATATAACGAAAATTTCGTAGATCTCGAATTTCCGCAATTTCTTCAATTAAATAAAAAATAACGAATATTTTTTGATGATATTGGGTGCGTTTGAAAGATGATCAAAGCTTTTACAATGCATGTATGTTCATTTTTTCAATTATCCAAACATTGAGGGTCGTTTCTTGCTTGAAGTGTTGCTTCATTTTTTGGGTTTTGAAAAGTCAATTTTTCTAAAAAAGATATTTTGTTCAAGAAAATTTTGTTTTTTGATAAAATTGAGAAGGGTTTTTCTATTTTGCTTAATAAATTATTTTTAATAGAATTATGATTTTTTTATAAAATTACATTTTTTTTATGAATATGGGAAGTGTTTTTCTATTTTGCTTAATAAAATTATTCCTTTGCTAAAATTATTTTTTGATGAAATTGATTCTTCTTTTTGATAAGTGCATGATAATGTCGTTCGAATGTATTTTTCTATTTTACTTAATAAAATTTTTCCTCTGATAAAATTATTTTTTGATGAAATTGATTCTTCTTTTTTATAAGTGCATGATACTGTCGCTCGATTTTTTTGTTATCTTTTTTTTTTTTTTTAAGTTGATGTATTTATATTTGTAATTATGGAAATGAGATATTTTGTTTTCTAAAGTGCATGTAAAAATTATGGTTGCCTTATGTTCAATGAAACACTGCATTGTCTTGTATGTGCTTTGTTCTTCTCCGTTTTCCTTATTTATTTATTTTGTTCATTCTCTATCAAGTTTTTGGAATGTAATGGAAATAGCCTTTAAAAGATCAACTATTTTTTAAAAAATCGGCCGACTAACTCAAGATCGGTCATTGGTCGATCCTGATCTGGCCCGATTCCACAGAGAGAGAGAGAGAGAGAGAGAGAGTTATACAAAGATCATAATTTCAAATCATCCCTCATTTGAGAAATTAATTTTTCTAAAAAAGAAAAAAATTTCAATTTGTTTAGTAAAATTATATATATATTTTTTTATCAATATGGGAAGTTTTTTCTATATTATAAGACAAAAATATCTTCAAAAAAAATATCCTAAGCTATTTTCAGGCACATGACCATATAGTATTCGAATATTACTTTATAAAAAGTTGTTTCAATTTTTTTTTTGTAGAATAAATATATGTAATAAGATATTATACATTTAGTCTAAGTATTTTTAGTTTTTTAAAAAAAAAAATTGGGAGTTTTTTATCCATTTTTTTTAAAAAAAATCTGTTTGACCGGTTAATCCGGTTTCAGTTCAAACCGCTCCCAGCCCCATGTCCGATTAACCGTTCCGGTTCGATTTTGTTAACACTCGTTTCAACCCAAAACATCCTACTAACTGATTCCTGAGTGGACTGGACCATGAAATCACGCAGTTCTGGTTGAAACCAGTCCAAAAGGTCAGTTTCATCCAAGTTACCAATTATGTAGCTCACACCGTCACACCTATTCCAGCGCTAACGAAGAACAACTGCTAATTTCTATAGATATAATCGCCCAGCATATGTTTCTAACAATACAATGGTGCCATTTCCTATTTTGATACAATCATATCGAAACACACAAAAGGGGGAAATTGGTGAAAAAAATAAAAATGGAAACATGCTTTTTGGTATTTGCTTTTTAGATCCACACATATTGGAAGGGAAGATGCAAAACAGACATTCATTTCAAACTTACCAGGCCACCCATGTTGGAGAATGCACAATACTTACCCACTAGAATATTACCCGCAATGGTCTGCCTGAACACCAAGGACATCCGCAATCAACTCCTCTGTTAACTGGAATTCATTGTAAGTCCATTTGTAAATGCAAAACAAAAACAAAAATAAGTGCAAAAAAAAAAAAAGCACCTAAGAATGGGTGCATAATCACAACACAAAAAAGAAAAGGAAATAGGAAAAAAAATATGAAACATCCAATGGATAATATATAAAGACTGACTTCATTTCCCACACAATTGCAATTGGATATGAACCAAATTATAAAAAAAAAAAATGTTTATATAAGGTTGAGATCCTAAACAATCAAATTAAGGCACAACTCAAAATTCACAAGAAGAGGTTGTTTCAATGCCCAAAAATCATCAAATCGATCATCTCAACCTCAAGATATATGTATATCAGAAGAAAAAAAAAGACTTCAATGCATTTTCTAGACCGTCACTTTTCAAGACTTTCAAGTGTTCATAGTCTGTTCGATCTACACTATTGTTTAAGCTTTAAATTTCGTAATTAGAGATAAAAATAAATTTTCAAGCCATTACAAAGATTTTCAATACTAAAACATCTTTCAACACTATTTGAAGGTGTGCCTTCCTTTGATTGTTTAAGGCCTCAGCCTTAAATAAACCACACCCATAACTTTATTTGCTTTCAAATTGCCAAGCAAAATAAAGAAAAATTAGAAGACACCAATTATAGAGTAGTTTCCTCAAGAAAATCCAATGCACCTCTCCGTCTCTCCCCACCATTGCCGCAGCACGATATTCACAATATCCACAACTACTGAAACCTCCCACTACCACCACCACAGTTGCTACTAACACCACCACTACATGCCACCAACACCACTATTATTGCACCTTAGCCACCACCACGACCATGACCACGACCAACATCATACCACGACCACCATCTTGCCACCACAATCACCATTAGGACCATCATTGGGCCATGCCAACCCTAGCCAAGGCCCAGCCTGAGTCACTAAGGTCCGCATGGCTCTAGCCTACGCCAACAAGGCCCGTTGGAAGGAAGAGACTCAGCATGGGGTCTACTAAGTCTGGTTGAAGTAATCTCTGACAATTTTACTTCTTTAAATTTTAGTTTTGTGTTGAGCTCTTTTATTCCCATAAAGCTAAGAAATTTTTTTAATTTATATACACGGTGCTTGATCACACAGTCCTACTTTCATTGATATCAGAGCTAGATCTACTTGCTGCTCTATTTCTTTTATCTCATTATTTGTTGGTGAGTTGAGAATGAGATATAAGAAAGCCAAGGACTTTTGTGGTCAATTGATACACCTCTGAAAGAATTATTAGCATATTCAAAACAGGGAAAAGGCACTATGCAGAGTCGAGTATTCTATGTTGTTTTGGAGTAGTGATATGAAGAAGATAATGATATAATTCTTTGATGCATACTTCAATGATATTATGTGTTTTTTAGAGTAAGATCTACCTATAAAATTTCAATGGGAAATCCTGAGGGAATTGAAAGTTCTGGACTCATCAATGAAGGGTGTCAGTTCTGACCCAACAAAATCTAGGAACTGCCCATAAATTTTTCTACCAACTATATGATTTTATTTTTAGCTGAAATTTGTTGGAAACTCATCAAATTGAGTTTACTTTCAAACAAAAATAGTTTCATGAAGAAAATCTTTGTGGTTTGAGAGATATAGTCATTTTATTGAAGGGTGCACAAGGGTTGTTGTTTCAACGACTTGAAAGTCATGATTTTATTTGTATTCTTAGCAAAATTTTTTAAGGCTCACACCAAGTTTCTAGACTGCCATTTTGAATCTAATTTCTAAAAAAAATTATTTGAGTCTATGGGAAATAAGGAATAAAAACTTTGGATTGGAGAGAGATCATTTTGAATTTTATACAATTTGGTGTGTTCTCATTGAGATGTGAATATTTATATTTATCAAGCCTACTTAACAGAGTGATATGAGGCATGTATAATTATTTTTGTTGTCATTTTGAGTCTACATTCAAACAAAATAGGTTTGAAAGGAAAACTCCATGAGGGTGGAGAGAAAAAATAATTTTACTAGATAGTGTTCATCTTGGAATTCTGTAATATGATATATTTTATAACATGAATCTCACTTATTTATTTCTCTAAAGAAAAATATTATTTGAGATTCATACCATAATGTTATGTTTGAGTTTTGAGTCTAGTTTTCAATAGAAAAGGTTTAAGAAAGAAATCCTTTGTGGAGTGAGACAAACAATTATTTTAATGAGAAGTGCGCAACCTGATTTTCTATTGTGAAAACTGTATTGTGACGTGCATGTCATTAAATCGAAAACCCACTAAATGGTATGATTTAGGGATGGAATTGAGCACTATTTTGTATTTTTTAGTTTATTTCAATACTCAAAAAGTTTTAGAGATAAACTCCTCATGAGTTGAAAGATATTGTATTTGTATCATGGGATACCCATCTTTTATTCTGCAGTAAATTAAAAGATGTGCCATGTTGAAACACATATTTGTACTCCTCATAATGGAAGCTCTGTTTTAGGACTCATTCAAAAGTTTTATAATGTGTCATGAGTGTGATTTATAACAGTAAAACTTCAAAAAGAGGTAATAGAAGGTTGGCAAGATATGATCATATGACACTCTATGTGAAGAGTGTTCAATCTAGGAATTACAGAAAGAAGAAGAAACACAATACCGATAAAAATATCTTGGTTTTTCGCAATGAAGGGATATGTAGAGAGACTTGATGGCAGCATAAAAACTCTAAAGATCAGTGGGAGAATTAAATTTGTAATCTTTAGAATGATGAGATGAAAAAAAGTATTCTTTAATATATGTATAGGAGAATCCAAAGGCCGAAGAGGTGGATGCTTCATCGACGTGTAAAAGATGATGACCAAGTCATCAGTTATGTTCTCTTCCAAGTTCACAAAAGTTCATCGGCAAGTAAAAGCAAAGAATTAGAAAAGCCCAAGTACCATACTACATGGTTTTGAGGTATGAAATATGTCTGACATTACATGGTAAGGTCATATAGAGAAAGATGATTCATTAAGTTTTTTTATGTTTTAAATACTTCTTTGATTATATTTTGGATGTTTGTTTATGAATATGAATGGAGTGTATGAACATTAAGAAATAACTGCTGACAAGTTTGAAAGAGTCAATTTTTTTAATACCCTATGTTTTAATACCTCCTTGTACTTATAAGAACAAGGAGATGAAACATGAGAGATGGGTATGGCTCATTCAAATATGTAAGCACGAAGGGAGTGTTCCGATGGAACCCGGTCTTAGTGATGTGTTGCATGTGATGACGATCTCATGAAAAAGTCCTCCATATTTTCCAAAAAGAAATGTTTTTGTCATGTTTTGACAACCATTCTTTAGTCGTGCTTTATTTTCGATAAAATTATAAGATGGTTTGTGAAAAGCTATCTTATGAATTACTAAGCATGTATTTAAAATGAAATTGGATCATTTGTGAAAAACCTAAGTCTATGAACATGGTTTTGAAAAAACCCCATAGTCTTGTGAGGTCTACTAAGTAATTCAAAAAAATATCGTTTTAAACCACAATGCTATTTTTTCTACCTATTGTTTGTGAAAGTATAGCAAGTCAAGAGTTTTTTATATAAGGAAAAACATTAGGTCTTAAAAGTATTTTATGTACATGTGAAAAAGTGTCATTAATCTATGCACTGTTTTTAAATACCCGCATGTCTTGACTCATGTTTTCATAATACCGATTATGTGACCTAGTTTTGAGTTGTTTAGAATCCTCGATTGCCTAAAGACCATGAACCATAGGGTATGTCATAGGATGACTATCTTGCTAGGTCTCCTTGACACATATTGTGTGGATAAAATAACTTATATACTACCAAGAAAACTAATGTGGTTGAACCTTTGTGGTTCAGGAAGGTTTTGCATATTTTGAAACCAAACGGAAATTGACTTATTTATTGTTGCATAAGACTTGCTATAATACCTCATGACACAAGCATGAGAATGCTGAGATAATATTTTTATGTTTGAGTCGGAGCGGTTAACAATCCCACAATTATTTTTAACAGCTTGGATATTCAAATATACAGGTATCCTATTATAAACGATCCAGATAAACTCAATATTCCAATGGGACTGTGGGAGCACCAGCTTGTGTTTGATAGGCCTGCTAGAACAACATATTATTGCTCACCCATAGAACCCGGATTCGTGACGCTAGTCGTATGGCTAGCAAAGGGAGCAACTTGATTGAAGAACTGCTTTAAGCCACTGAAGATATGATCCCATGCGATGAGGGTATGTGATGATATTCTACAACAATAGGTCCATGATTCGCGATAAGATATGAAAGATGGACCACAACCACGTATGGGATGAGATATGAGCAGCAAAAATAAAGAGGCGCTATCTCCATAACTCTTGTTTGAAAAGATTGATGGCGAAATCCATGATTAATGCAATAAGAGTAAGTGAAAAATGCTTGAGAGATAGATTGTAATTGGGGGGATGAGAATGTGAAAAAAAGAAATTGGAAGGCCTTCAAAGGCCAAGTGGGATATGTTGGGTTTATGTGGCCTTATGAGAGCTTTATGAGCATTTTATATAGTGAAACATAAACTCAGTATGAGTGTGGTCCTCGTATGGACCATACTAGACAAATGCTATTTGTCGATACTTGGACGAGGCTCGACATGCTAGGCTAGTTGAACTGGAAAAACCCAAGGTACATGGGCATAAAGATAAAATCGAGAAGGATTTAGTGGGTGAGGTCGGAGTATGCCCAAATGAGAGCCGAGGGACTATGACCCATTGTGTGTGATGAATAGCCTTTAGATACATGATTAAAACCTTATTGTTGTATCATCACACAACATGTACATAGATAGTCGCATTGAAATAGTAATCCACCATTGAAGGTAAAACATGTACATGTGCGAGAGATTACCCCTATTGACCATAGAGTCATAGTTACATCATAGTTTGGGGACCATGGATTTGTTTCTAGAGGAGAACCTGAAATCCACATAATGGGATTGCGTCCCCTAGCCGAT